AAAAATTGTCCACTGGAAAAAAATATAGAATTGAACATGAAAATTACTACATTTCCAGTAAAATTCAAAATGTGGGTAAATAGTAGAATACAATTTGGCTATAGACCTAGTTTATTCAGTAAGAAATTTTCTTAAGCTAATAATAAAAATATTCAAAAAATAGTCCACTGGAAAAAATATAGAATTGAACATGAAAATTACTAGATTTTCAGTAAAATTCAAAATGTGGGTAATAGTAGAAACTTGATTGTGTTAAAATTATTCTATATTAAATGCGCATCATATTTAGACATTATATAAATTTGTATTGTGTAAAAATAATTGATAGAAAGTACATTAATTAAATAAAGTGTCAATTAATAAATAATTCAACACAATGTGGTGCCCTCAAAAAGCATTATGTAATAACAGCAGCTCAATATGCTGAAGTTATAGCAGAAATAACAAAGAAATTAGATAAAACGAATTATATGCATATATATATATATATATATATATATATATATATATATATTAGGGTGGTCCTTAATATAAACATTTTCAAATTTCTTTGCTTCCAGGGCTCAAATGGTTCCAAATTAATAAAAAACAATTCTCTGAAAGTTCTGGCTCTTAATATTGTCTTTTACATAAAGCGCAATTCAATCAAAGTTTTGTATGGAAATAGCATGAAAAAATTTTTAAAAATTTTGCAGAGTGTCGAAGTTTCAATAAAAAATGACATGAATTTTCACTTTTAATTAATTTGTCGCTGAGTTATACTTAACCCCTTCATTAATTTGAACCATTTGAGCTCTTGAGAGCAAGGAAATTCGAAAATGTCCATATTAAGGACCACCCTAAAAATGTAAAATATTACTAAAAATTTAAATGTTAGTAAAATAAACAAAAATAAGAAAGAAATAAAAATTATTGTATAAATACAATTCTGATGTAGCAAGAAATGTGTATTTTAATTTTGAAAAAATAAACAACTTGTTCGATACTGTTTAAGAATTTTAAGAAAAAATTTCCTAGCTCTCGCATTAATATTCTCATCTGTTATATTTGGCTATATCTAACATAAATCTATACTTTCTCCACATAAATACGGGCTCAGTAAAGCATCTACAACTGCCGAGGTAAGATGTATTTGCATTTATATTCAATCCTTCCTTTCCGGAAAGTGTAAACGGAATATAAATTTATATACGAAATAAATAAATACCTATATTGCGGATAATAAAATTATTTCAAAATATTTTCTCAATGTTTATAGCATATCGAAAATTTCAAATCAATCAATCATTTATAAAAATTTAATTTGACGAATTTAGAACATACATCTCTAATATCTATTTATTTTAAGGTTAGTTAATTGAAAAAAATATAAATGCTATTCAAATATTATCATTTTCTGATTGAACAACAAAAAATAAATTAAGAATGCAGATAATGGCTCGTCAAATTAAATTGACCGAGAATGCAACATCAATTGTATGGAAGATAGCAAATAATTATTTTTTGCATACTCAATTACGATCACTGAATAAAAAACTAAAATGAGAATTTGATATCTTTTCGTTTACAGAGGTGAAAGATTTCTCAAAAATGCATGTCCATCTATTCCATTAACGAAGAAAAAAGGACCGAAAATGTACATTTGGTGGCAAAAAATTAGTATTTCACTTATTAATGCCATGTTCTTTAATGCTAGATTAATAGTATTTTTATTAGATTTAAAACTCCATTCGAAGACTTATAAAACTAAAAAAAAATATTGTAAATAGACAATTTTAATTATTACAGTCAGCCTTTTGAAATTGATCCAGGAATGATCAAATTTGCAGTAGTTGATGTAAGTGAATTACGCTAGATTAAATATCAATAAAAATAAATAAAGAGTTGGATTAAATATTATAAACAGCGTATAAGTTTAATATTAAATAAACAGTTTTAGTGACAGAGAAGAACTTAATCTTTTTTAGGGCACATTAAAAATTTGTGATATTTTTGATAATTAAAAAAAATCAACATTGTAATTTGTGTACCGACTATATATGTTAATAATAATGCAATCATTTAATATAAAGAAAAGCCAAATCTTCCTCATAATAGTTTTCAAATAAAAAATTGAATCATTCAATAAATTTCTGAAATTCTCTGGACAGAGTTTTACGAAAGAAATCATTCGTATAAGAAAAAGACCAATATATATATATATATATATATATATATATATATATATATATATATATATGTATATAATTATCATGCATCCTCAAATATTTTACTTCACAGAAGATAATTAAAATTCATGTAAACTACATTATTATATCAAGTGTATAAACAACTGGTAAGAATATTTACTTATAATATAGCAGGAATCTCTGTATTTTATTTTATTTTAATAATCCAGAACTCTATAACAGAATTATGTAAATATTTGTACAAATGACTCCCGAAGGAATACCCAAGGAGCAGTCAAATCAATAGGATGATATGGAAAGATTTTGTAAGAATAATTTAGGACAAGCAACATTGTGAAAGATATATATATATATATATATATATATATATATATATATATAGATATATATATATTCGGATTCTTTATCTATTATACATATGCTAGATTATCAGATTCAATTCGAATTGTGTACCTTTAGATTATCAAATTCAATTCGAATTGTGTGTTATTGTTGTAATATATTATGGTATATAACCATAAGTGATAAAAATTTCAATGTTTATAAATGAATAAAATTGCAAATGAAATTTCAAATTATTCACAAATCTCACTCGATCAAATATTTTTAAATACTTCACATTTTTTTAAATTTTTTGAAATTAAGTTCTCAAAATTCTCCACGTAATATTTTTGTTTTCTACTAGAAACGTGTAATATTATAATAGCAATTGCATCGAAATAAATTAATATCAACTATTGTAACAAATTAAATTATATTTTTTTTTATAAGCTCAGCTTCATATTTTACGCTAATGATGTATTATGATTTTATTGTTAGTACGAAGTGGTTCTAGTACATTGAAGTTTCGCAATATTATTTTTTATAAATCTATATTGTTTGAGAAGTGAATTTTTGCTATTTTAAATTTGAAGAGTGTAGTATTTTGCAAGAAGTAAGAGGTTTGATACATTAGAGGTAATGCATAAACGTTGTATACATAGAATTTGAGAATATAGTTTTGTTGCTATGTAGGAGAACATGGAGACGATAAGTATAGTTGACTGGTAGCTGGAAGCAAGTCGACATTTTTATTTTTGTTTAATAATACGGATGTTCAAAATATATATTTAAAGTTTTAATTGTTAGTACAACTTACAAAGGTGTACTTAAATAGAACAAAACCCCAAAAATTACACTATATTGTCATAAAGTGTCATATTGACATAAATTCAAAATGAAACATACAAACAATATTTACTACACAAAGATTTGATAACAAATCGGAATTTTTACGCCAAAATCTTTATACCATATTTTTGAATATGTATAGTTAACAGTAGTTATGGCAATAGTCAACGTCGTTTAGATTGAAAAAAATCCCATTTTAGATTTCAGTTACATAATATTAGGTTATTATTATATTACTTTATGTTATTGGCGAAGAATTATTTCTCAAATTGTCTTCAAGACAAATTAATTTTATAAGAAACTTTTGTCAATGCAATAATATTTTATGAAATAATATAAGCTTGTTCAATTTAAAACCAATTCTAATGAATATTAGGTTAATTGTTTTTTAATTAATAACATAAATGAAGTTTATAATTAATGAATATCTAATACAGAGTGAAAAAATTTAATATTGATATGTATGCTAATGAACTAGTTGATAGTAGGATAATATAAATATATTAATAATAGTAATGTATTTATTATATATTAAATATATTAATATATAAAAAAATATTTTACAAAATTTTTAAATTATATATATATATATATATATATAAATTTTATTAACGAGAAATATATTAAAATTTTGTTAACATAAATTTTATTTGATAATGAGATTATTTCTTTCAGTCAATTTTAGCCGGTAATAAAATAATGTAAATATAAAATAGAATAAATATTGGTAATGTTTCATATTACATAAACCATTTTATCTAATTTTATCTACTATTTTAGACAATCCCATGTAATCAAAATGAAAGTGATTCGAAAGCTATTAGATATAATTATAAGTAATAATAATTATAAGTAATAAATAATCAGTACATCAGAATATAACCTAAAGACTTTATTACATATTATTTATAAAAAAATATTTTGTAAATGGTATTTAAAATTGTGAGATTTAAATTTTAAGTTGTAATTTTTTTGAATTAAAATAACGTCGTGCTAGGAGATAGAAAAGATATTTTAATTAATATTTACCAATCTATTATTTTTGCATCAATATAGTTTAGCCGTTCAGAAATATATTTGTATCAAGTTTTCTTGTGATTAACTTTCCGTAGCGTTATAGTAATCGCAAAAAAATCGAAAATGCAATTTTTTGCAATCTATTTGGCGGTCAAAAATGATCATTAGACATATGCATATCAAATTATCAGATATTTTATAGAGATTTTAATAATAAGTACAGATTTTATTTGCATTTCTTTGGGTTCCAAATGATTTATAATGTTTAATCTTTAAGCCGCGGCGAGACGATTACGCGCTTCGATATTTCATTTTTAAAAATCTATTTTTTTCTTAAAAAAAAAAAATTTAAAACTACGGTCAGTTTCTCCAATTTGTTTTAAAGCATAATGCCACGCACCATTAATTTAATATGTATGCGCAAAAATATTAAACAAATGGGTAGGTGATAATTTTTTTCAATAGAATAAAGATAGCTGAAGTTTGAAATCTACAATTAAAGGTTTAAACCAATAGCATTCATTCAGCTTTGAAATTGTAATTATACAGAACAGTATGTCGTAAAATCGTCTATCTAATTCTAAAGTGTTCAGGTAAGTAGTCAAAGATGGGGTAGGTACTCACTCTAGGGCTCTGTCGTGCTGCACATCGTTCTCGTAGCGCAGCCTGAGGTTCCGCCGGATGTCGCTGGTCTCGTTAACTCTCGGCTGTGCGACAGAGCACCAGGAAGCAACAGTGCGGTCTCTGCAACATAAAGCATAATGGTCAATAAATTATTATATACATAACGTACCAAATAAATTAGCAAAGTGTTTGAACTCAGAAAGTTCAAAGCCTTAACAATATCTGTTGAGAACTTTCTTAAAATCTTTCATTATTATTTTTGTTAAAAATTCGTTTTAAATATTTTTTGAAGTAAAACTTTTTTAGGCGCGACTAGGGTGTAAATCCGTACAAATGCAACGGAAGTGCGTTAGATAAGATGGAGCAGATTAGATAAGATAAGAGTCGAGTGCCAATGGTTCGTCATTCGCTCCAATGATATCATTTCTATACGGGTCGATTGTGATTAATCTTCGCGCGTATGTAAATAGAGATCTGTCGTTGTATGCGTACCGGCATTAACGTTGTATGCGTACCGATATCAACAAGAAAATCGGCTTAGATAAATAAACATTTTAAGTTTCATCGTAGTACAAATCTTGATTTAATGAAAAATACCTGAATCAGAAGAATATTTTACCCTGTTCCTTGAAAATATTGATTACTAAGATTAATGATTAGTAAGTTTATTGATTAAAAATTATTTCTATATCATTCGTAGTTTCTATAAATCTTTGAAGTTATTAAATAAAATATTTTTAGGCAAGGCAGATATTACAGCTGTTCAAAGTAAGAGATTATATCGCCAGCGAAAAAGTAAAAAATACAAGCAATCAATGAATGTAAGTTAATTTTAATTACATGAAGTTCTTCAAACACAATTACATGATGAGTGAACTTGCGAAAACAATATTTGTTTAGGCGTTGTTTAACATAATCCACTCTGTGAACAATATTATAAAATTTATTATTCAGCAATTACTTCATTTCTCTAATGAAGGTACATTTCTAAATGCTAATTACAATGACAAACCGATCATGTCATATTTGAAGTTTGACTTTAATTACATTATTGTTTTTAAATATTATACATATTTTTAATGCTATTATAAATATATAATTTATAATTTATCATTATATAAATGTGTATAATTGTTGACACTAATAAATGTGTGCATCACGAGTGTTAGGTTTATTTTGAATAAACATTATTCAAAATTGTTATATGATGTATTTATTTTCACTTAAGTGCCATCTTGTACAGTAGCAAATAACGTGTACTTCAATCGCGTGTGAATCCATTAAATATATGAATAAATTATCTAAATAAAAATTTAAATAAATATTCGGAAACGTTTAAAAAAATACTAATGTCAAATTCCTAAGCAAATAGTTACTCGCATTTCCTACATTATTAGAAAAGGAGCAAATATTATAGCAGGGTGTTTAAAATATGTCTTCTTTATTAAATTCTGTAAAACTCGACTATTACAAAAAAACAGAACAATAATTAAAAAATTCTCCGCAAATGTGCGACACTTTTAGTAGAGAAGGATTGAAAGCAAAAAATAACTAACCAACCGACAGAGTAAATTAATGCAACAATGCTTTACTAAAATTTAAATTAAAGAATACATTCTACAATATTTCGAGATAATTTATTTTAAAATGATTTAAATCATTATGAAAATTATATGTGTATTTTTGATACTACTTTTTACTAAACGTTCAACAATCAATGTTAGGCATAGAAGATTTTAGATTTATAAATTTTATAACCGTTTTACTTAAAAAAACTCACTCTGCTATAAATACATAATTAAGTAAAATATTAATTATATTTATTATAATGTGTTAGCATTAAAATATTTTATAATAAATATAAATGATATTAAGAATTACACTTACCCACACACACAAATTGTTATGTATAAATTGCAACAATAATCCAACGATCTTATGTAAAAACTATTAGAAGAAATTTATTTTTAAATGATTTGCCCATAGTATTGAGGAAAATTATTGCTTAATTCTTCTTATTCAATATTTACTACATGCCAAAGGAATTAATCTGAACAATTGGAGTTTGAAATTAAATTCAGCAGATCGGACCAAACTCTTGAGCAGAAGTTCGCATGTACTTTTGCCAAGAGTAGTTCCAAGAATCAATAGTTCGTTTGTTTTTGCTTTCGGAAATCAGCGGCGAAAACTTTTGAACCAATAGTCCATTCTATTGCTCACCGTTTGAAAAGTCTCGATAAAAAGCTCAAACTTATAAAATGTATTTAAGTTTCATAATCTCTTCCTCAATCGTTTTATTTTGTATTTCGAGTTATAGATCTCTGCTTCTATAAAACTTTCAAAACAACGAGCTTTTATAATGGAAACACAATGTGGCAACTTTTTATTATAGTTGGATGAATGAATAATTTATTAGGCGTAAGCGGCATTTTACCTTTTCGATATATGAACATAATTGAGTTAATAAAAAAGAAATATTTCAAACTATATCAACAAGACAAAGTCGTTTTTACTAAATTTAGTAAAATACCGATTTGTTTCTTTACTTTTACTAATTTTATGTTTTCTCAACGTTTCAAGTCATTCTGAATCGAATAAAATCAAATTTGAAAAAAGTATGTGTATGTATAGTGTAATTGAATTTTCATCCAAGCTTTCACAAAAGTTACTCAGAAAAGCCATTCGAAGTAGCTTGATAAGGACTATCGTTTGGTCAGTTTTGCGCAACAATCGGACAAGTCGTTTCTTTGTAATTAGCAGAAAAATGTAAGAATTTTGCGCCAACGTTTTAACCCGCAATCTTGAATTCATTTTAAAAATTCAAGGGTTGTTCGAAAGATATTGGTTGGGAATCATGTTGGTTAGTTGTTGGTAAAAATCGGCTTGGTAAAAATAAAGCTTTAAATAATTATAGATTCTGTAGTCTGAAATAACATATTAAAATATTATGCCGAAGCATCTGTACGTTCTATGGTGTTTTGCAGGTAGCTACTGATCACAGTTGACGTCCGCACTTGAATAAAATAAGTTTTTAGAACACGAAATAGACGTAATAAAATATATAAAACACATTATTTTAATTTATACAGCTACTGATATTAGAAGTATGTTCGACATAATCAATTGGAAATCGTACTGTTGATTTTTTAGTGAAAGCAAAAATTTTATTTTAGAAATAAACTGTTGAACATTTTACCTAAATAGTTGTTTCTCATTTTTCTTATTGATTAAGTTGATTATGTATACTAGGGTGATCCTTAATATGGACATTTTCGAATTTCCTTGCTTCCAAGGGCTCAAATGGTACCAAATTGATAAAAAACAATTCTCTGAAAGTTTTCGATCTTAATATTGTGTTTTAGATAGTGCGCAATTCAATCAAAGTTCTGTATGGAAATGGCATGAAAAAATTTTTAAAGATTTTGCAGAGCGTCTCGAATTTTCAATAAAAAATGACGCAAATTTTCACTTTTAATTCATTTGTCGCTAAGTTATACCTATTTTTTTTTTTTCATTTTCAAAATTTTGTTTATGTCGCTATTTCCATACGAAGTTTGATTGATTGCGCACTATCTAAAAGTTAATATATAATATAATATATAATATAAAAGTTAAGAGCTAAACTTTCGGAAAATTGTTTTTTATCAATTCAGAACCATTTGAGCCCTTGGGAGCAAGGAAATTTAAAAATGTCCATATTAAGAACCACCCTAATGTATACGCATCGGGATGTTAATGCAAATTGCCTTAAGTTTACTTACAACTAGTTTTACTCTGGTTTTTACAAAACTAATGAAATCTTTACACATCGTAATTATACACCAAAATATTTTTTAAATCATTAATATCAGTTATTACGTGCTACACCCATGTAACATTAGGACTTCACTAGCCATTTCTTGTAAGGTTTACCAAAATGATTAGTAAGCTTTAAATGAAAATATATGAAACAACTTCCATTCAATATTGTTATGAAGTGCATATACAATACACCATAATTAACTTTGCAAAAGTTGGCATCAGTTTCATTCTTGACCTTATAACGATGCTTGTCGCAACTAAGGGAAAGTTCATTCCATCTTCATTTATAATTCAGTATTACGCGGAACTTGTGGATAAAATATTAAGCAGAAGGTTCTATGTTTATTCTGAATTAATCGTTCATCACAGAGTGATTTGTCTTTGTATATATAATAATAGATAAAACTAATTGCATATATGAAATTGCATTCAATATTAAGGATAATAGATGCATTATTTTCATTGTTCTGTTATATTATACCCTATTATTGTTTCTGCACACAAAACGATTCTTTACAATGACCGTTTCTTGCATTTTTTCTTGATGAAAAAAAAAAGATTTTCTTTCTGGAGTAAAATAAACCAAAGTTGATTTAATCTAGTAAATTTTTCAAAATTATACCCAATTAAAAATATCTCCTTAGAATAGACAATGATACTTTCGAAACTAACCAAAGACAGCTGTTTCTAACCTGATTGAACAACTTAATATATCTTTTCTACAAGATTGATTGAGAGGGGCAAAGGAAATCAATGAGAACATAGTATATAAAAAA